AAGCTTTATTCATGTTGCTCCCCCTTCGAGATGGGTCATTTTTAAACAACTCGAATATACTTTCAATTTTGCAACTCGTGCATGTTACGAGTGCCTGTATATTGACCTGGGTGAGGTCAAAAGCATTATACGGATTCCGTTTTTTGTCATTTTCCATGACGCATGTTTATTTAGACTTAACCATTTTGGCAAGCCTGCATTGATGATGGTGGTTATCTTTGTTGACTTAATCGTTTCATCATAACCTGGATTTTATAATCTGGCTTTACCCAAGGTAAAGGCATTATTGTCACTTGTCCCCCTTAAGTCCTTAGATCGAGGTAAGGAGCATTTCGACTTGATCATAGTTAGTATGACAAATTGCACTTGCACCTCAGGATGTATATTTATGCATCAAAACTAAATAAGAATAAATCTTAAAATGAAAAATTCCTCATTTATTGACATCAAATTCGTCGATTACATGAATTTGCCAGCATATTCGGCATTAGTTAAGTCCCTAAAAAAGAAAATAATTCGCCTAGAAAAACTTCAAATCTTCAGAAGGTGGATCCCGAATTTTAGCTGTAATATATTTTCAACTTATCCGCATTCCAGGTTCTCTTGATTCCTTTGCCTTCTATTGTTTCCATGACATAGGCTCTTCTTCCAGGTTTTTCTTTAACTCGGTAAGGACCTTCCCAATTTACAGCTAGCTTTCCATCTCTGACACTTCTCTTCTAAGTACCAGGTCAATTTTCTCGAAGACTCTTGGTCTCACTTTTTGTTGTATCTAGCTACTATCAGTTGTTTGGTCATCATATCCTAGCAATGGGTTGTGACCCTGGCTTCATCAATGAAATCTAATTCAGCAGTAAGTAGTTTACTATTTTCTTGTTCATTCTTCTTAATAGCATTCATTCTTCTCCATGAGGGTTCTCCAATCTGTACCGGGATCATGGCTTCACATCCATATGTCAATCTAAAAGGGTTTCCCCCGTTGCTGTCTGGGTACTCATTCGGTGTGCCCACAAAACAAAGTATAACTGAAGAACCCAGCTTTCTTTGGCATCCATCATTCGTTTCTTGAGCCCGTCAACAATTACCTTGTTCGCAGCTTGAGCTTGCCTATTTGACTGTGGATGTTCCACAAATGCGAAGCGGTGTTTAACCTTTAAGTCTTTCATCAATTCCTGGAATCGTTTATCAGCAAATTATGTTCCATTATCAGTTACCACCTCGGCTGGTATTCCAAACCTGGAGACGATGTTCCGTTCAAAGAACCTCTGTACCCTGGCCGAGGTTATTGTGGTAACCGGTTCTGCTTCTATCAACTTGGTAAATTAGTCTACGGCCACAATTAGCCACTTCAACTGCCCTTCTGCAGCTTTGAAGGGTCCCAGCAAATTCATCCCCCATTTGAAAAAGGGCCATGGAGCCGGGATGTATTTCAATTCTTTTGGTGGTGAAAGAAGTAGCTTAGCATGCTTCTTACAACTGTCGCATCTTTTGACATGCTCTTTGGAGTCTACTTCCATAGTTGGCCAGTAATAGCCTGCTCGGAGGGCTTTTCTAGCCAGAGCTCTGCCCCCCATGTGTTGGCCATTGATTCCTTCGTGTATCTCGGCCAGCACAAATTCTGCTTCTTTCGAGTTGAAGCATTTCAGCATAGGAATGTGCATCCCCACAATTGTGTATTGGTTGCATCTCGGACCAGCTTTCTGGACTCCAATGGGTCGTCAGGCAATGTTCCTTTCTCGAGGTATGCCACTATGGGTAGCCTCCAGTCATTTGCCGAGGTGATTATCATCACACATCTTGGCTATGTTCTGCTTTGTTGTACCACAGTTCTGTGGTTTCCTAGATTTTTCGTACTTGCCAATTTAGACAAGATGTCAGCTCGATTGTTTTCCCCTCGAGGAATCTGAGCGACTTTCACCTCTTCAAACTCAGCCATCATTTCTCGAACCTTGTTTAGGTATTTCATCAGCAAAGGGCCTTTGGCTTGATACTTTCTTTCTATCTAAGAAGTCACTAATTGGGAGTCACTGAAGACTTTAACCTTTTTGGCCCCATGTTCCTTAGCCTGCATCAACCCGGCTACTAGGGCTTCATATTTTGCTTGATTGTTTGAAGTTGGAAAACCCAGATTCAAGGAGTGTTCTATTGCCACTCTATAACACCTCGTATTTCGTAAATGTATTATTATACATGAAAATGTGATTTAAAGGGTAGGATTAGTGAAAATCCTGAAATTAGAATCAAATTGCATAAGAAGGGTAAAATGGTAATTTACCAAACACGTGTTCCTAGGCAGGAAAAATTGAGTAGAAGGTCTCGAATGACAAAAATTTTGCCAAAAATGGATTTAGGACGAAAAATTGAGTAGACAGGCAAGTTTCGGAAAATTTGATGAATAGTGATTTTTTTGGTGTAAAATACTGCAGTATAATTGTACCGATAAGCGCAAAAACATTATCAGTATTTTTAAGAAGTAAAAATATGACGTGAACGAGAAAAATACGTAAGTTATGAATTTGTGGTTTAAATTGGATGATTTAAGAAAGTTAAGTGTCATGTGAGACCCACTTAAGTGTCATGTGAGACCCACTTAAGTAGTGACTTAAGTGGGTGGGAAGTCAAATGGTCACAAAATCTGATTCTTTCTCTCTCCTCTCTTCTCCCTCACCATCGACCTCTCCTCCATTAAAAGGGTTTGGAAGAGCTTGAATTTCTATCTTGGATTGCCCCTTATTGAGCCTGTGATTCTATGAGCCCTTTATACATGTCCATAACAATTCTTAAATTTTTTAAAATTACGATCGATCTATATCTCAATTATATACAAAGATAATTCACAACAAAATGATTACGAATACAAATGGAACAGTTGTAACTTTGGCCTATAGTATTCGCCACCAAAATAAATATATTTTGGTAACATTTGCAAGTGGATGTTAACCATGACAAAGATTATATTGTTTATTATAATATGTTTCTTATAATATGTTTCTTAATTTGCATTGATAGAGTAGCACATAGTGAAGCAGAGGCCATGGCTTCAGCCTTCTCCACGCTCAGGTCCAATTGCAAGGAATATGTAAACCGATTTCTCATATATAAAGTTGAGAAAATAATGTTACCAAAAAAAAAAAAAAGTTGAGAAAATATATTTGCAAATTTTCTCACTTCATTCCTCAAGAATCTTGTAAAGGAACTTTTCTCCAATGAAAATAAGCCTTCACCCTCAAAATCTTCACCATAGAAACCATGCCCCTTCAGCTTTTGTTTTCTAGGAATTTCCTTACGTTTTAAATTATACTATGTTTAGAATCAACATTAAATTTTGGAAATTTCTATGTTTCGTTTATGATAATATTAATAAAATGTTTCAATTTAGGACATTATTTTTGTATGTTTATTTTTTTTAGCAAAATAAAAGGGGGCGAACCGGAGCAGTAATAAAATTGTTCTTTCATGACTGAAAGGTCATGGATTCGATTCCAGGAAACAGCCTCTTTGCAAGTACAAAGATATATTAGTGCATGGAAATAGACCTCCCATCTAGCAACATTGTTGTAGAACATGTTTACATCTCTTTCTATTGTAATTCGGTGCTCATCTTAATTAAACAAATTTGTCATGTTATTACTTCTCATATATTTTGAATAACCTTTTCTTTCTGATCTTGTTTTCAGTACAATATAAATATACCGGAAATGTTTACCCAAAAAATATATATACCTGAAACAAATAGAAATTAAAAAAAAAAAAAATTTATTTTTGGTGCTGAAACATATTATTTCGTCAAAGATTAAGGCATTTCCGGAAGACTCATACAACGTGTCATGTATAAAGATTAACAGCGATTAATTTTCGCCTTCCAAAACCGGACTTCATTTTTCTTCCTTTTTATTTTTCAAGTGATTAATAAAATCTTCATTTATAAAGATTTTATTATTTACACGATTAATTAATTATGCACACTTGTTCTTATCTTTGATTATTTTTCTCTTTTATTTTCTGAGAATTATAATTTTAGTATAGAATAATTCTTTAAAAGAATTCAACTCTTGTGAGTAAAACCCAATCAAAATTGATACTGATTTTAAAATGTTCTGATTTAAGACAAATGACTAATACTCTAAATAGCTTACAAAATTGAAATGTTCCCACTTCTCAGTATCTCCAAATCAATACAGCCATATAGCACCGAATAAGGATATGCAAAAATAACCAAAAAACTGAATCGAACTGAACTGTCCTTAAAATAATTAGTTTTTAAAAATCAGTTCATAAACCGATCCGGATTTTAAAGAACCAGTTCATGAACCGAACCGGTTTTCGAACTAATTTAATAACCGAACCGTTTCCGAACCGTTTTCAAACCGAACCAAATTGATTTTTATAATTTTATTTTTTAATTTTTAATTTTTTTTCCTTTCAAAAGAGAGTCGACCCAAACCGATTTCGAACCGAACCGAACCGAACCGTTTCCAACCGAACCGAATCACTTCCAAACCAAACCAGTTTTGAACCGAACCGAACCATTTAAACCAATTCGGTTCGATTTTTCAAAAATCCAGTTCAATTCGACCCATGCACATCCCTAGTACCAAAGCTGCATACCCGAATGCAGTGTGTTAAGCAGTGAAAATTAGCTTCTTGTTCTGTGAATCAGGAGACAACGTACCATGGACTTGTAACGAAGCACTATCAAAGAAGTTACAGAAAACTACCAATAATGGGCTTTAAAAAATTACGGGAAAAAAAATGCAAGTAAAAAGATGCAAATTAACACTTTAGAAGTGACCGAGAAATTTGCATTCAATTGCTCGGACGCTCTCATAAATTGAAAATCCATAATCCCCACTGCTACAGGTAACCTAACCCAAAAATTCTCAGCGGACCCTGAACTTTATCATGAGAAATATGTGCACATGGCATTTCTGTTTAAACAACTACTCTAAAAGCAACATGGCATTGACATTTGACAAGCAACCAAATAAAATATAACGGTGTAACTTTTGGCGCATAATCAGTATAAAATGTTATGCAAGGCTTTTCTGCCAGATTACATTTTTCTCCTCCCATGCTAATGTTAGCAATAGAAAACATATCTCGATTAGGTTAACAAAACTACAAAACGTTTTTCTTACAGTTATTCCAATGATTCTCAATCTACTTACTGACCCCACAGGTCTAAACACCCACCGTATGAAATCTTGTTAAATTTTGTAGTTGTCCAAAAATGAGAATAGACCTATAAAAGAATCACCAAATTAACGAGTTCAACTAAGTAATATTCAAGTAGGATTTCCAACCATGTTTTTCTAATTTATCTCCTTTCATCAAGACGTTTTCTTTTTGGTCCTCTTGGTATTGACTCATCCTGCACAATATTATAAAGGTCACAACAATATAAGTGGAGATTGAGATAATACTTTCACTTCTTTCTATTTGTAGAATTTTAGTTCAACAAACAAATTTTAAATCACAGATATAGAGAAAGGAAGAGAGGGGGAGGGGCAAACCTTGACAGAATATCATTATTGGCAACACCCAACATCCTCACTGCCAACAATCCAGCATTGGTTGCATTATCAATTGCAATTGTGGCAACTGGGACACCTTTTGGCATCTGCACAGTCAACAAGTATATTTGTTAGTGAGCAAAAAGACTACATGTAATGTATCAGCTTTGATAATTGCAAAAAAGGTCACTGTTGAAACAAGTTTTCTATTTCCTACACCAATTGATGTAGTCATGAGCACTCTTTTTGAATACCTAGTAGAGTCTAGTCTGCCAGAATACGTTATCTGACAATGACTCCAATTCTTTGGACTCAAAAACAGAGATAAAGCAAGGCAAAACAAGGGTCATCTTGAAGAGGGCTGATACAGTTCTGCCAAGTAGAAAGTTTGGGAAGGTGTACGTGAGGAAGAGGCACATGAGATTGTTGCCAATTACAGGTGCTGAGGGAATTAGTTGGTTGGTGTCTCATTTTCAGCATCACACGAAAGCTGGGATATATAGAGGAGGAAAGACCATTTCGAGGGCATCTTCGAAAATTGGGACTCTAGGGCTTTGGGAAGAGAACCAAAACCTCTCAGAATGTTCTGGGTAATAGTCACCATTTACACCTTTTCCTTCCATTTCATCTTCATTATCCGTATTTCTCCTTTACCTATACTGTAATTTTCTCTCAAACATCATATTGTAATACATATCTGAACCTGTGTTAAGGTTCAGACTTATCAATCCACGTTTCTTTCTTAATCTTTTTCCCTTCTCTGCTTTGGTACCTAACAATTGGCAACAGATCTCCGCTCTGGGAGCTGTGATTTCCAATTAAAAGGTTCCGGAATTTGATGGTGAAGAAGAAGCCTATGGATGGTCAATCATCTTGGAGCAATATTTTTAAGAAAAAGGAACACAAGAAGCTAGGAAGTTTTCAGAAGCTACAAGAGGACTGAAAGGGCGCGCTCAGATTTGGTATGATATCTGGAGTTATCTTTATCCAAATGCAACATGGGGGAATTTGTTCAAGGCAGTGCTGAAGCACTTTCAACCGGAGTACGATCCCGATTTATATCTTTGCAATGAAGAGGCAGAGATAGAACTTTTGAAATCAGAAATAGAGAGAAAGAAATGTCGTATTAGAGGAGAAGGAGATCAAGCAACTCATAGTGGGGAGTGTAGAAGTAGAGATAACAACAGCAACAACATCGCAAGCTATTTCTATGATGATCGTGGAAGATAAATAGGAGAAATCAAACATTTGGAATGACGAATTAGAATTAAAACTTTCAAAGGTAAAGATGAAGCTACTGGGAAATCTCGTGATGGAGAAGCTAGAGACCATGGAAGTGAAGAAGCAAATGGAGTCTGGATTCTCAAAGATCCAAGAGAAGAAGTGTGAGGGTGATGAAGAGAGAGATGGATGAAAACCATCCACTGGGTCTTGCTGTGAATGAGCAGAAGAAAAGGGAGATCGCAATTAGAGAGGGAAGGAGAAGAGCACATGATGGAGATGGAGCTCTGGATTTTAAGGAGGCCAGCCGAACCTCCACCACTAAAACCGCTAAAGCACGATGTTTGTATTGCGGTTGAGACGATGATCCCTAACATCATATTCCAATCCAGCAAATCAGTTCCACCTTTCTTTCATTAGCTACGTTTCGAACAACTACGAGGTGGTACCATTATGAGTGTTACTTCTGTGAATTGGGTTTGGGTATTTGTGTGGTGTCCTTGAATCCTGAAGTGATGTTCAATGTCAAACAGTTGAGGGAGAAGAGGGAAGGGAATGAATGGGACAACAATTTCCAGGTGCATATGAACATACCTAAGCAGATTACATTGGTTGCTGATTTTCAGAATGGTTTTAAAAAGTCATTGTCAGATATGCTTAGAAGATGCTACCTTGATTCTTATACAGCAGCTTATGCACCCAAACTGAAGACCTCTGAATTTAGTTTACAGAACATTAAATTTATTTCTCCTGAAGTCTACAATTGGGACATACAAAATGAACCAGAGCATTGCGCCAAAGCATTTTTTGATGGAACAACGAATAGCAATTTGACATCAAATTTTGGACAGCAATTTTATAGTTGGGGGGCAAAGGTACACCGGTTGCCAAACACTCAAATGACTGATGTATTACCGGGAAAGATGATGGAAACAATTTACACACCACGGTGGAATCTAACCAATGGGTGGAAAAATTGATGCCATCCAAGGAGGAAATACTCCAAAAGGAAACATCAGTTGCTTGTTCACTTCAAATGACACTCTCCGAAGGTAATACATTTGAGGGACGTGAAGAATTTGTTGATATTGTTGACATTGATCATTGGGACTGTAGCAGACAGGGACAACAATTTACTGGATTTCCTTGCTATCATGCTAGTGTTGTCTTTGAATGTGTTGATGGTAACCCATATAAATATGGTTCTAAATACTTCTTAGCTGAGAAATACATATTATCATATGCAGGCCAGATTTCTTTGGCATCAAACGATAAAAGACTAGTCCAGGGTGAATCAGTTTTGGCAATTATGGTAATTCATCCACCAACTAAGCAACATCCTGGATGGCCAAAAATAAAGCAGGTTGAATCAATAGACCTGATTAAACGTCAACTTCAGTTTTGTAAGTGCAAGGGACTTGGCCACAAAGAAGGGCAATGGGATCCTGGTATTGCCTCACACATCAGTTGGTCCCCACACTTTAAGCAGTGGGACCCAGGGGGAGGTTTTGACATGTTGATCCTCACCTTGAGGACAAGGTGAATTTTTTGGGGGGAGTATTGATACAGTTCTGCCAAGCAGAAAGTTTAGGAAGGTGCATGAGAGGAAAAGGCACGAGATTGTTGCCAATTACAGGTGCTGACTCAGCATTAGCTACCAGGCAGGGAATTAGTTGGTTGGGGTCTCATTTTTAGCATCACAGAAGGCTGGGATATATAGAGGAAAGACCATTTTGAGGGCATCTTTGAAAATTGGGACTTTTGGCATAGAACCGGAACCTCTCGAATGTTCTAGATAATAGTAATCATTTAGACCTTTTCCTTCCATTTCATCTTCGTTATCTGTATTTCTCCTTTACCAGTACTGTAATTTTCTCTTAAACATCATATTGTATTACATATCTGAACCTGTGTTAAGGTTCAGACTTATCAATCCACGTTTCTTTCTTAATCTTTTTTCCCTTCTTTGCTTTGGTACCTAATAAAGGAAACAACTGTAGCTGATATCCAAAGAAGCTGAACCAAAGATGTGACAAAGAGAATTATGTGACAAGAAGTGTGAATCTGTGTAGGTCACACCAAGCAAGAAAAGATGAGAATGGAACAAAAGAGGGGGCAAAGGAAAATGAAAAAAATATGTATTGATGAATGGTTTTCAGCATCCAATAAGCAGAATGATGGAAATTCTGCCCTCAAATGTGTAGGTTAACTGATTGTCAGCATGAATTTTCAAGTGTTTCAAGTAGTTGCTGAAATCATCAATAACTGCATCCTTGAAACTGTTTATGCTTTTCACAAATTGCTTCTACAAACATTGTTAACAAGGTTGCTTTTAAAAGCAAACATCTACTATTCATTTTTCCCTTTTACGAAATGTATCCTTTGTTGAGATATATAAAACCATTAAAAAGCCCTCACCCACCAGCTTAAACTTTTGGGTTGAATTGGTTCTTTACATGATATCAGAGCCTCGTGTCCCGGGTTCGATCCTCGCCGCCCCCCACTTTCTCTAGTAGAATTTCTTTCTTCGCACAGGTAGATGGGCCTGTGCATTGTCCACCCTTCAAGCCCAGTGGGCTCTCGTGTGAGGGGGCGTGTTGAGATATATAAAACCATTAAAAAGCCCTCACCCACCAGCTTAAGCTTTTGGGTTGAATTGGTTCTTTACATCCTTCGTTCACATCCAATATTTAATCAAATATTAACATTCATAAAATTACTATACTCCTTAGCGATGGCAAGTTCTAGAGAGTGGAAGAAACTTTTAAAAAGCAGTGTTACGCACCCACCCAAGATTAAAGTGTACCGTAGGCAAAGGTTCAGGGAATCACAACAACCTATTGCTGATATTGCTGACTCAGCTCAGCTCACCAATTAGTGTGAGTGTGGATGTGGGAGAAACGGTTAGAGAAGGGGAATAAGTATGAGAGGAGGAAAGGAGTGCATCACTTTTGGGCAATTAGAACTTGGATCCTTGGGAGAGATCAGGGGCTCTCCAACACCTCTGAATCTATCTTTCTTATTTCCTTATTTCCTTATTTTGTATTTCCATTCAGTTCTGTAATTAGGAAGAGTATTGGAGAAATACTGTCATGGAGTTTACGTGTAATTGATACTGTTGATTTCGGGGTTTAATACAAATTGTCTCTGTTTTAGATTTATTCTGGAAATTGCTCTTTAGGTTGTTACAATTGGTATCAAAGCTCTTTTCTGGGAACCTTGAATGGTTTTGACGAGGAACATGGATCACAGAATGGAAGCATTGGAGGCCAGAGTTGGAGGAACTGAAGGGGGAATTCAGCGGATTGAGGGAAATTTGGCAGCTATAATGAGGACGCTCCAGGACCTTGCAGCTAACAGGAACGAAAGGAGATCTGTTAGTCGTTCCCGTGGAGGTCGTGAAGGAGGTTCAGAAAATTATGAAGACGAGAACGAGAGACATGAAGGGGTTGGAAACAGAAGTGAGAATCCCGGGAGAAGATTGGAGCTGCCTGTATTTTCCGGTGAGGGAGTCCACGATTGGCTTAACCGTGTTGAGCGTTATTTTGAAGTAAATCGAATAGCTGAGGGCGAGAAATTACGTGCGGTGATGGTCGTTCTTGAAGGAGAAGCGTTGCATTGGTTTCAATGGTGGGAGAAGAATATGGTAGATCCATCGTGGGGAGTGTTCCGAGTAGAGGTCTTGAGTTGTTTTCAGCCCGAGCTTGAGGGAAACCCTCTTCATGAGTTACTGAGTTTACGTCAAGAAAGGACGATTCAGGAGTATCGCAGGAGTTTTGAGAAGATTAGTGGAAGCCTGGACTTCGTGGAGGAGGTGCTGCGTGGTATTTGGCTGAATGGACTGCGTGGGTGTATTAGGGAAGAGCTATTATTGAACCCGTTAGATAGCCTCCCACTTATGATGAAAAAGGCCCAACGAATTGAGCGAAGAAATTAGGCTTGGGCTGCCGAGGGAATAGGATGAAATGGATCCGTACACACAAAAGAAAACCAATGGGCCTCAAACCAATCATTTACGGGTGCAAAACCCCACTTGGGTTATGGCAACCCGCGATTTAACTCAAACGCAAATGGAACCCCAATTCTGACCCAGCCATCGCAGAACCCTAATATGGCAAGAACCACGAACCCTAGTTCCAACGCCTCATCGTCCGTTCAGCGCACGATGGAGAGCCAAGCGAGTAACAACGCGCGCGCTGGGAATCAAAGGTTGCCGCAGGCTGAACTCCAAGAAAGGTCTCGTAAGGGACTATGTTTCCATTGCGAAGAGCGTTGGAGTCCTACCCATCAATGTAAGGCAAAGCAACTGAGGCTCTTGATTGTGGAGGAGGACAGGAACGATGATGACATGCAAGCTGAAACAGAGGAGTAACAAGAACCCGTTCAAGGAGAAACGACGACTCTGCAGCTGTCATCACAGAACCTAATGGGTTTAGCATCGAACAGGACTATGCAAGTTTGGGGAGTGATAAGAGGAAAACGCTTGGTGATCTTGATTAATAGTGGAGCGTCACACAGTTTTATTAAAACAGAGACAGCCAAAGAGCTGAGCTTAGTGACGGAGACCACGCCAGATTATAAGGTTGAAGTGGGCAACGGAGATAAGCTGACTTGTAGTGGGGTATGTCGTCAGGTGCAAATAGAGGTACAGGGTGAAATTATTATTCAGGATTTATTCCTTTTTGGCTTAGGAGGTGTGGACGCAGTTCTGGGTGTGGATTGGCTGCAGGGGCTGGGAAATGTTAAAGCCAATTTCCGTTATCTTACACTACGATACAAACAAGATGAGAGAAAGGTAATAATTAAAGCAGAATCTGAACTGTTTTGTGCTATGGCATCGCTTAAATCGGTGACGAAGGCCCTTAGAGACAAGGGAGAAGGGTTCTGGGCATTGCCGGAAGCTATTTCTTGTCCTGACCAAGTCTTTAAACTAGAGTGGTCAGAGATGGAGCAATTGTTGGAAGAATTTGAGGATGTGTTTGCCGTCCCAACTAATCTACCGCCAAAGCGCAGCAGAGATCATGCTATAGTACTGAAACCAGGGAGTGAGGCTCCCAATATCAAGCCATACAGGTACCCTTTTTTTCAAAAGAATGAAATTGAAAAAAGTATCGCTGAGTTGTTAAGTTCTGGAATGATACGGCCCAGCGTGAGTCCTTACTCCAGCCCAGTTATCCTAGTAAAAAAAAAGGATAATAGCTGGAGGGTATGCGTTGATTGCAAAAAGTTAAACAAACTCATTGTACCTGATCGATTTCCTATGCCAGTGATAGAAGATTTATTGGATGAATTAGGAGGAGTTGTCTTGTTCTCAAAACTGGATTTGAGGTCCGGTTTTCATCAAATCAGAATGAAGGAGGATGATATCGAAAAGACAGCATTTCGCTCTCATGAAGGGCATTACGAATACCTTGTAATGCCTTTTGGGCTAACTAATGCCCCTTCAACGTTCCAATCACTCATGAATGAGGTACTCAGGGGGTTTCTTAGGAAGTTCGTGCTAGTGTTTTTTGACGACATAGTGATTTATAGTACTTCCAAAGAGGATCACCTTCAACATGTGAGGCTAGTGCTGGGAGAGCTGAGAAAACAACAGTTATTTGCCAACCAGAAGAAGTGTGTTTTAGGGCAGTCACAGATTGAGTATCTGGGACATATAATTAGCCCATAGGGTGTGGCTGCAGACCTTAAAAAAACTAAGGCCATGCAAGAGTGGCCAGTCCCGAAGAATGTGAAGAAGCTGCGGGGATTTCTAGGTCTCACAGGATACTACCGGAAATTCGTTAAGGGATATGGAGTAGTGGCTAAGGCACTGACTAATCTTTTAAAGAAAAACTCCTTCATCTGGAATGAAGAGGCCCAAGCTGCTTTCGAAAGGTTGAAGTCTCTCATGCGTAACTTGCCTGTTTTGGCTCTACCGAATTTCAGTAAGGAGTTTACAGTTGTCACTGATGCTTCAAGGAAGGGAATAGGGGTTGTTCTTATGCAAGAGGGTCGTCCTTTAGCCTTTATTAGTCAAGGGTTCTCTCCAAAGGCCCAAGGCAAGTCGGTGTAAGAAAAAGAGCTGATGGCCATCGTGTTCGCTGTCCAAAAGTGGCAACATTATCTCATGGAGAGGCATTTCGTGATAAAAACCGATCAGAAAAGCATTAAGCACTTAATGGACCAAAGGGTGTTGGGGCTTGATCAACAAAAATGGGTATCCAAATTGTTGGGCTTCGATTTCGAAGTACGATACCAACCAGGCCGCGAAAATGTAGTAGCCGATGCTTTTTCACGAAGGATGCAGCGGTTTTCAATATCAACAGTGCAACTACCATTGCTGGAACAAATAGAAGAAGAGCAGAAAGCTGACCCTCGGCTGAGACAAATAATTCTGGAGGTATTGGCCAGCCCAACCAGCAATACAGGATTCCAAATGCAAGGTGGGAAGCTGTTGTACAAGGGCAGACTGGTTCTTCCCAAAGACTCCCCATTGATCCCCACTTTGTTAGAAGAATTCCATGACACCCCTGTAAGTGGTCACTACGGGTTCTTCCGAACTTTTAAGAGACTATCCAGCTTGATATATTGGGAAGGCATGAAACGAAGCGTGCAAAGGAAAGCAAGTCATCCAACCTCTCCCCAGCAAGTCTTTTACAGCCTTTGCCTATCCCTACTCAAGTGTGGTCTGATATATCGCTTGACTTTGTGGGAGGACTACCCAAGGCAGGTGGGTTTGACACAGTCTTGGTTGTAGTTGATAGACTCTCAAAATATGCTCATTTCATTCCACTCTGCCACCCGTACAGTGCTCATGAGGTAGTTGTAGTTTTTATAAAAAACATAAGACGACTACATGGGTTTCCAAATGCGATTGTTTTGGATCGAGATAGGTTTTTCCTGTCATTTCTGGTCTGACCTCTTTAAACAGGCTGGAACCAAATTGCATTTCACTACAACTTATCACCCTCAGTCTAATGGCCAAACTGAGATTGTCAACAAGTGCTTGGAGACTTACTTGAGGTGTTTCTGCCACCCGAGACCCAAACAGTGGCATCATTGGCTCCATTGGGCCGAGTATTGGTATAATACCGCACACAAGGCCTCCACTGGTACGACCCCATTTAAGGTTCTTTATGGTTCTAACCCCCCGTCTCTGCTCAAGGCTGAAGATGGGATCAAGGTAGCTGAGGTGGATCGATTATTACAAAATAGAGACGTTATTCTTCATGAGTTACAGCAGCAACTCAATATTGCTCATAATAGAATGAAGGTGCAGGCCGATAAGCATCGTCGCGATGTCCAATTGGAGATTAATGACATGGTTTATCTGCGGATTCAACCATACAGGCTTAAAACACTAGCAAGGAGGGTAAACGAAAAACTTAGCCCACGTTATTATGGACCTTACAAGGTGATAGAAAAGGTAGGAGCTGCTGCCTACAAACTTGACTTACCTGCCTCACGTCGTATACATCCTGTATTCCACATTTCATTATTGAAGAAGGCTATTTCTGCCTCTACTCATGTCCAACCATTACCTAATATGCTATCAGAGGAGTTCGAAATGCAAGTTGAACCCGTTGAAGTCTTACAATGGAGAAGAACAGTTTCTGGAGCAATTGAAGTTCTTATTCGTTGGAAGAATCTGCCACCTTTTGAGGACTCTTGGGAGGACTCCTATATGCTAGATCGACAATTTCCTAGCACCCACCCAAGATTAAAGTGTATCGTAGGCAAAGGTTCAGGGAATCACAACAACCTATTGCTGATATTGCTGACTCAGCTACTGCCAGCTCACCAATTAGTGTGAGTGTGGATGTGGGAGAAACGGTTAGAGAAGGGGAATAAGTATGAGAGGAGGAAAGGAGTGCATCACTTTTGGGCAATTAGAACTTGGATCCTTGGGAGAGATCAGGGGCTCTCCAACACCTCTGAATTTATCTTTCTTATTTCCTTATTTCCTTATTTTGTATTTCCATTTAGTTCTGTAATTAGGAAGAGTATTGGAGAAATACTGTCATGGAGTTTACGTGTAATTGATACTGTTGATTTCTGGGTTTAATACAAATTGTCTCTGTTTTAGATTTATTCTGGAAATTGCTCTTTAGGTTGTTACACACAGCTTTTAGAAAGAAGCAACAAAACCAAATTCATCCATAATCCTTGTCGTGAACCAACTATCTCAAAGGCTTAAGCTATTAAGACACATTTGGTTTTACATTACATCTCTAACACGCCCTGTCACGTAAGAGTTCTTTGCGTTTGAAGCGTAGACAAATGCACAGGCCACCTATCTTGTGCTAAAACTCAACTATTTATTAGAAGAATGAGGATGACAACAATCAAACTCTAGACCACTTGGTCATAGAGTCTCTAATAAATGTCTTGAACTAATTATCCCAAAAATTTAAGCTATTAGGTGAAGACACATGAATGTGAACTAACATATGGCACTGACACAAAATCCTTCATTTACAAGGATTCCAACTAATAATGATCTCAAGCTTTTAAAAAAAAAAGCAATAATACCAAATTGACAAACAATTGCATATTATTATCTCTTTCATTAGAAAGCCAATCCTACAAAAGAGCAAAAGAAACTACGGATCACAGAAAATTGATAAGTATTGAATATTTAAACATCATTAAAAAATGTACCTGGACAATCGATAAGAGAGAATCAAGTCCATCCAGGGAAGAAGCACGCACAGGAACACCAATAACAGGCAAGGGAGTACAAGCGGCAACCATACCTGAGATATGAGAGATTCATAAATGCCAATAAGACAATTGATCCTTAAGAAAATAATGCAAAGCACAATTTAAGTAATTTACCAGGCAAGTGAGCTGCACCACCAGCACCAGCAATAATAACCTGTATGCCTCGGTCATGAGCAGACAAGGCATAAGAAAACATCATTTCCGGAGTCCGGTGTGCTGAAACTATTTTTACCTGAAATTTGACCAGTGTATGTATAAGGAAGGACAAACAACTTTGTACAGGCAAACCTCCCCCCCTCCCAAAAAAAAAAATCAACAAAAAAAAAAACCCATTTTTTAAAAAACAATTTGACCTCATGAGGCACACCAAACTTCTCCAAGATTTCTGCAGCACTTTTCATCACAGGTAGATCTGAATCAGAACCCATTATGATCCCCACACGTGGAGCAACTACATTTAACAAACAAAACAAAGCATAATAAGGTGCGAGAATAACAAAATTTTCACTTCAAATATAATGCTCCTCTCCATTTTCCTTAATTGTAATAGAAGTATAGAATGGCAGTTTCCGATGAGTTGATAGCGAAATAAAGAAAGGATGATTAAAAGCAATATATTGATGAGACAGATATATCCTTTTCCATAATCATATTTTATTCTCTCCACTCATTAATCACCAACAACTTTTTGGCAAAAATACGGGAAAAACAAATAATTTGTTTCACCAGAATCATAATAAAATGCAGGTAGCATTGAAACTTATCAGATTTCCTTGAGAAATAATGAGACACACTCACTCAAGTTTTCCCAATAAAGAAGGGGAAAATTTTCAATAAAAAGTGATCAACCTATTTTTAGGGAAAACAAAAGAAAAACACACTTTGTTGGACAGGCACTGTATATTTTGATTGACTAGGTAAAGAATTGACATAATTATGATAGATGCTTTAAATATTACGTGTATCTTAAGTCTAATTAAATTGGTTATATAGCTGTGAATTACTCATTTTACCCGTTAAATTATTGCATACGAGATGAGATGATAAAGATATAAAATGAAGTTGACTATGAAAACCATCTTACTTCATTGGCCTAGAAACATAAGATCAATAACTACAAAGAAAAAGTAAAAGGGAAGAGAAGTTTGTGTCACCAACCTGCAGTCTTGTCATCTACTCTTTTCCCTTCTACCATCATTGCAAGATTGCTTTCAATATTGCCTAGGGAAGGCCCAACAATGGTGATATGGCCCATTTTTCGTTGTTTTCTCATTTCTGACATTGTCATGATGATGTTATAAATTTAGTCATAAAGTGATCAAAAAACAACAAATGTGTGGGGGTGATCAACTATAAATTGCATCCTAACCAGAAGTTTACCTGGCTTATCATACCAATGAACGGTAGCCCCAGGGATGGTCAATGCCCTTTTGATCAATAGATGAGCTAAACGGAAACCAAGCTCCCCCTAAATTCATCAAGTAGATTTCATAGACTAGAGTTTGAAACAATGATAATAGAATTGGATGATCTTCTCAAAACAAGTAAATGAACTAAAGAGAGCGCTCGATAGCCTTTAAGTGTACAACCATAACCCAACTACGAACTAAGATTAAGCACGAAAAAAGTAAACCATCTAATTTGACTTTCATTGATTCTGAAAAGCGTTTAATTTCCTACTGGTTTATCCTTTTTCACATGAATATAACATAATTAACTAAGCTACTATTCATCTTTTACATTCTCATTTTCTGCATATAATAATGAGAAAATACGGTCGCACCACTCCCTTGCAACCATGCTATTAAAATAATTATAATATCCCGTGCAAATATAATAGCATCACTTTTACAGGGAGAGGAGAAAACCCGATATCTTTTTCAAATTTACAACACAGAAGGTAAAAGGAAAGGCAAATGGAGAGAAATTAAATGCCACTACCTCTTCTTCGCCTAATATATTGTACATGACAGCAGGAGTTTTCATTGATGGATCTCCAAGAGGAAGACCAACAACAGCCCGCAAATGTTGCTCAAATTGTGATGTATAGCAAGATTCGATTGTGTGATGCCCACTATTGTGAGGTCTAGGTGCTACTTCATTTAATAAAATCTGTCACAGGCACAATCATGAGATTAACAAACAAATATAATGCATTTGAAACATCTGAAATTTTTCTAGTAAAACGAAGCCAATGTAAAAAAACATGAGGATGTCCACAGTTGATGAAGAAATAAATTCACAACCTGTCCATCACTAGTCAAGAACAATTCAACCGCAAACACACCGGCACCTTCTAGAGAGTTAACAGCATTGAAAGCAACTTCAGCAGCCCGCTCCCTAATCTTCCATTTCACATTAGCTGGAGCCTTAACTATGTGGCATATATTGTCCCTAGAACAAAACATAAATCCTTTAGCAGATATATAAGCAAGCTGAATTTGTACATTGCTGATTCATTTTTGTAAAGAACCAATTCAACCCAAAAGCTTAAGTTGTTAGGTGAGGCTACATTAATGGTTTTATATATCTCAACACGTCCCCTCACACGAAAGCCCACTGGGCTTGAAGGGTTGACGATGCACAGGCCCACCTACCTGTGCGAAGAAAGAAATTCCACTAGAGAGAGTGGGGGCGGCGAGGATCGAACCCGGGATACGAGGCTCTGATACCATGTAAAGAACCAATTCAACCCAAAAGCTTAAGCTGTTGGGTGAGGCTACATTAATGGTTTTATATATATCAACAATTTTAATTACCATCGCTTTGTTTAGAATTTGATCTGCGGTAAATCTTGCATTTTAAATACTTGAAAAGAAAGATTGTATTATTGAAAAGTGTAAATAATTGTACAAGAGCTCTCTATTTAAAGAGACTAAATGACCTAATAGGCTAAATCCAAAGAAGCTTCTAGAGTAATTTAAATAATAAAATACTAATCTAAATAATAACACAATATTATTTACAACACTCTCCCTCAAGCTGAGAAATAGATGTTATCATTCTCAACTTGCTAGTAAGTTCTTGAAATCTATCTGTGGAGAGTCCTTTTGTCAAAACATCAACTAATTGACGCCCGAAGGGAATATATAGAGTAGAGATCAGCCCGCTATAAAGTTTCTCTTTAATGAAATGATGGTCGACCTCAATATGCTTAGTTCGATCATGTTGGACTGGATTATGAGTTATATAGATGGCGGACTTATTATCACAAAGCAGCTTCATAGGTCCTGTAAAAAACCAATTCAACCCAAAAGCTTAAGCTATTAGGTGAGGGCCTCTTTAATGATTTATATTATATTCTAACACGCCCCCTCACAAGAGAGCCCATTGGACTTGAAAGGTGGATGATGCATCAGGCCCAGCCTATCTTGGCTAAGAAATTCCACAAAGAAAATGAGGAGCGGCGAGGATCGAACCCGGGACATCAAGGCTCTAATACCATGTAAAGAATCAATTCAACCCAAAAGCTTAAGCTATTAGGTGAGAGCCTCTTTAATGGTTTATATTATATTCTAACAAGTCCTCCCCATTTTATCCGGAGATCATCAAGTATAATTTTTAACCACAACAATTTACAAATACCTTGGGCCATCGCTCGAAACTCCACCTCTGCACTTGACCTAGCATAATCAATGGTAGATCGACGGTCAGTCACTGACCCGGCATAATCAGCATCAGTGTGAACTTCTAAGGAAAGATTTCCATCACGCTGAAATAGTAGTCCTCTGCTAGGAGTAGCTTTAAGATACTGAAGAATTCTTTCCATTGTCTTTCATGTGTTTTTCTCTCGATTATGCATGAATTAACTAATAATACTAATAGCATAAGCTAAATCTGGTCTCGTATGAGCTAGATATATCAATGTCCAACCAACCGTTGATATTTCCCTTTATCAACTGGAGGACTCTCTTTTTCATATCTCATCTTGTGATTTTGCTCAATAGGAGTATTAGCAGGTTTACACCCAAGTTTTTCTCCTTCCTTAAGAAGATCAAGAACATATTTCCTTTGACAGATAAAGATTCTTTCCTTTGAATAAGCTACCTCTATCCCTAGAAAATACTTAAATCTCCGAAGGTCTTTAATTTCAAATTCAGAGGCTAGTTGTGCTTGTAAAACACGTTTCTCAACACTATAATCACTTGTAATAATAATGTCATCAACATACACAAGGAGCACAGTGAGCTTCCCTTCTTGAGAGTGTTTAAAGAAAAGTGTGTTATCTCCTTGACTCTGTTTGTACCTTAAGGTCATCATAACTTTAGTAAATCTCCCAAACCAAGCACGACTGCTTTAAGCCATACAAGCCCTTTTTTAACCTACAAACTTTATCTTTTTCATCAATAGAGTCAAATCCTAGTGAGATCTCCATGTAAACCTATTCTTCTAACTCACCATTAAGAAAAGCATTTTTCACATCAAATTGTTTAATATCCCAATTGTAATGAGCAGAAAAGGATAATAAGGCTCGCACAGTATTCATCTTTGTAACAGGAGCAAAAGTTTCATCATAATCAATACCATAGGTCTAAGTGTAACCCTTGGCTATTAACCGAGCCTTGTATCTCTCAAGAGTACCATCAGAATTGTACTTTAGGGAATAAACTCATCTACACTCTACTGCTTTCTCTCCATTGGGTTTACTCCCATGTTTTATTCTTCTCCAAGGAATTCATCTCATCTTTCATGGCCTAAACTCAATTCTCATCTGTTAATGCTTCGTACACTGATTTTGGGATGGAAATGGAATCCAGTGCTGACATAAAGCTTTTGAGATGCATAGAAAGGTTAGTGGAAGAAACAAATTGAGAGATAGGATGTTAAGTTCAAGATCTTTTTCCTTTTCTTAAGGCAATGGGTAAGTCATCAGAGACACTGGGTAAGTTATTAGAAGCAAAGGGTAAGTCATCAAAGGCAATAATATTTTGTTCAGAAACAAGAAATTCAAGACTTACTAGTGATTCAAACGATTGAGGTTGCTAGTGAAGCAGTATGGGTTGTTTCCTCCTCTGATATACCAATTCAGCTGTCAAAATCTTTCGTATCTCAGGTGTATTTGAAGGTTCTGACACACCAGGAGTAGACAGGCAGAGGTGTAGGAGTAGACAAGGACGACCTAGACTCAAAGAAGAAGGGGACAAGTCTTTTGAAGAACTGTTCTCTCGAAAATGAGAACCAGAGAAAAATGACTCAAATTCATGAAAGATGACAACCATATAAACAAAAACAAATTGACTTGGAGGATGATAACAATTGTAACCTTTTTTATCAGGGGCATAACCAAAGAAGACACACTTAAGAGCCCTAGGATCCAACTTACTGCGATGTTTATGAACATGAACAAAGGAAACACACCCAAACACTCGTGGCTGAAGACTCTGCATAATGGGAACAGAAGGAAAGAAGAAAGTCATGGAATGAATAGGACGGGTATTGTTAAGAACCAGTAAAGGTAAGCGGTTGATCATAAAAGTTGCAGCTAACACAGCTTATCTCCAATAGAAACTAGGAACAAATGTCTAGAAAAGTAATGCTTTAGCGACTTCAAGGAGGTGACGATTTTTTCTTTCAGCAACCCCGTATTGTTGAAGTGTATCAACACATGTGAGCTCATAAATCAAACCTTTGTCTAAAATGAATTGCGACAGGTGTTGGTTGACGTATTCAGTATCATCATCAGATCTTAATCTTTTAATATTTTTAACAAACTGAGTCTCGACCATGTGATAAAATCGGATAAATATCTCTGGTACTTCAGACTTGTTTTTCATCAAGAATATTCATGTCACTTGAGTATAATCATCAATAAAAGAAACAAACCACTTTGCACTTTAGAAAGGCCCTAAACATCATAATGAATAAGAGAAAAAGGTTCAATGTTTTTTATAGCACTAGAAGGAAAAGACACTAATGGTGTTTTGCAAATTCACAAACATCGTAATGAAAAGTTTCAACTGACTGATTTAGAAACAGAGAAGGAAACATTGACTTCAATAAACTAAATGGTGGGTGCCCCAGACGCTTGTGATGGGGCCAAATCATAGATTATGCAGTAGAAGGATGACGTGTCATCAATAGCTAATTTTTGGTATCATTTGTAGCATGCTCTAAAAGGAGATAATACAACCCACCCTACTCTCCAGCAACTTCAATTGTCTTCCCCATGGTGAGATCCTGAATAACACAATGAGAAGGGAAAAATATGATAGAACAATTCAAATCAGTTGTAAGCTTATGAGTGAAGATAAGATTAGTGGCAAGATGAGGAACATAAAGAACATTTTTAAGAAATAAGGAAGGTTGAATTTGAATGTTACCAGAACCAATAACTGATTTATGGATCCACTGGCTATAGCTATAAAACGACTACCAACAGTAGGATGATAAGAAAGAAAAGACTCAGCAAGACAGGTCATATGATCAGTTACACCAGAATCCAAAATCCATGAGGTTTTAAAATCAGTGCAAGAAGCAAGAAGAGATATGGAACATGTGTTCTTACCAGACAAGATCAAAAAACTGTCAAACGGCTTACGCAGAGTATCAATAGCAGTCTTAAGCTGCTCCAACTTCTTTTGCTGAATATTCACATATGGAGTAGCATTATCACACTTACCATGAAGACGAAAACACATCTCTTGTGTGTCGAGCACAAAAGTGCACCAACATCCCAAGGACAAAAACAGATCAAAGATAACAACACAAAAGAAGTGGGTAATTACCAGTGAAGTCACAAAAGTCTCCGGAGAGCAAAAACAGCAAAAACCACTTCAAGTTAAAGTCCAAACAAAAGCAACAGGGTCAAATCTGTCCGAAAAAGATCCAAAAAGCCAAAAAAAGACATAACTTTTGAGGGGGGAAAACAAAAGTGTACTAGCCAAACAATATCCAATCTCCAAAACAACCACAGCTCCAGAAAGTAGAAGTCAAGACGATCCAAACGACGGTGACCCAAGGCAAAATCAACCCTCCGCGCGCCTGTGAGAGTGACGGCGCGTGAGGCCTACAAACAAAGAAGGAAGGGCAAGCGTGTGAGCTCCGGTGATGGTGGGCTTTTGACGGCTGGCCGATCTGGAGAAGGCGACTGTGTCTGTGGGAGGTCGGAGGTGAAAAACGGCCGAAAAAGTGAGCGGCCGAAAACTGCAGGTATGGGTGAGGAGTTTTCAAGGTGTTAGGGGCTTCGGTTGGTCACGAAACCATCGTAGAATGAAATATCTCCAAAAAAAGAGTCAAACGATGGTCTTCTCGGTCCAAAAGGTCCCCGAAAAATTTTTCGACGGCGACATATGGCTGGGAGGAGACCACAAAAGGGAAAAAAAAGGGTTCTGCACTAATGGCGGCGGTCGCGGAAGCAAGGCCCTCAGAGTCGAGAGCTTTGGTACCAACTTGAAAAGAAAGATTGTATTATTGAATTGTGTAAATAACTGTACAAGAGCTCTCTATTTAAAGAGACTAAATAACCTAATGGGTCAATACCCAAAGAAGCTTCTAGAGTAGGGGAGGGTTACCACCCTTACAACCAATCTAATCACCGTTAAATTAGAATTAAATCTAATCGTGATTAATTACCCCTTATAATCTTAATTTTTTCTCTCACATCCCCTCTCTGTTTGCCTCTCTCTCCACTAGGTTTTCATCCTCTCTCTGTCTCTCTCTGGGTTTTTTTTTTGGTAAACAAAAGGGGCAATGCCCCAAAAACAACAAAGCAAAAACAAAACAGCAAGAAATAAACTAATCAGATGCAGCAGCCCAGATCTAAGCAGAAGACCCCTCAGATCAGCGAACTAAGTAATAAAACATTTTTTAATAAAATTAACGAGCGACTTAATGAATTTTTCATTGTCTTTGACAAACTCAGGCCATTGCAGTATACTCTTAATCTTCTTAGGGTCCATGACATTCTCAGTTTGAATATTATGTTGCCCAAGTATCCGAATCATTTCTCCTTCAGGGTGTTGGAAGCCTTTACCACAAATGCTTTAGAGTTTTTTTTATATATATACTCATCCCTTATCCTTCCTTTACTAAAAATGGCGAGGCTCTCATATATGTTTCCCTGAGGTCGATCTCTAAGTTGTTGAATCAAGGCTGCCATTGAACCTTCCAAACCTAAAGAGAGAAGGAGGCAGACACAGAGGGGATTTGAGACAAAGAATTAAGATTATAAGGGGTAACTAATCACCGTTAGATTTAATTCGAATCTAACGATGATTAGATTGGTTGTAAGGATGATAAGTTTAGCTGGTGGTAAGTATAACTCTCCCCTCTAGAGTAATCTAAATAATAATACAATACTATTTACAACATAAATCTTCCATACAAATAGCATGTAAGTGCTGTGCATGTTACCTGTGAACAGTTTCAACAACAGGGTAGCATTTAATCGAATTGTCTCTACCTCTCACCACAATGACAGCTAGTTCCTGTAATTGTTTAAGGAACCAAAATATTAGAAAATCCATAAATTCATAAAATGACATGAGAATATTAGGAAGTTTTAAGATATAAAAGACATTTTTTTCCGGTGAATCAAAAGACCTGCTTTAAATAAGTAAATAAATAAATTGTATGGAAGCACAAGGAAGTGTAATCTTAATTCTTTGAGATGGAAAAGATTTATTGGTAAGAGCACTTTGCAAGAGATGCAAGCATAGTATGGTAATGGAATAAGTTTCATCTCAAAACAATTCATATTTATGAAAGACACTGTTTTCAGAGGCAAAAACTGTTGAGATTACTGGATAAAAAACGGAGCACTATTAACTGATTGAGAACATAACCATAGTTAACAACAGAAACAATCATTCTGCTGAACTCAGTAAATTGATCACAAATATACAAAATTCAAGATTTGGTGGCTTAACACGAGCAATATCATATTCACCTTGACAAAAGGTGCCCATTTTTCAACATATAACCCACGATCAAATCCACCAAGAGCTGCAAAATTGGAGGGGAAAAGTTAAATAAGAAGAAGTAAAAATGAAGTGTGCTCATATCAAATATTACATATCAAAGAAAGAAAAGAAAAAGAAACACCTTTCAAAAAATTAATTACCATCGACAGCAGAAGGAAGTTCCTCTTCACTTTTAGCGACAGCATTTCCCCTCCCATCATAAGCTAATCTCCTACTCTTGATCATAAGAGGATAGCCAAAGAGTTCCCCTGCTTTCTTAGCACCTTCAAGATCATCTATCTGTTCAATGTATTATTCATATATCTTCAATTGCTATCCTAAAGAAGAATTTTCAAATACTGTTATAACCAAGATAAACAGTACAAACCAGCATAAATTCAGGAAGTGGAATGCCATGCTGAGAGAAGTGAACTTTTTGCTGATACTTATCCTGTAATATGTTGAATAGTCATATCAATGAAATCACTCAGATAACAACAATATTCTTATCTTTGAAAATATTCAAATTAGCATGATTATGATGGGAAGAAAAACTATACTGCATAAAACAAATTAATTTAAAGGGAAAAGTCATAGAAACAACGAATTCCGAAACAGAAGCATGCAGTCAAGCGCAGGATGAAACATTTTATATGTGAGATATACAAAGGCAATACTTTATAAATGAGGTTGAAAAATCTAATTGTTCATTTCTGTAAAGAACCTTGGGATACACCACCTCAAAAGCAAACTCAAATGGTGGGAGTACCCAAGGCCTTATAAACTCCACATTAGTTGCTCATACAACCACCAATGAGGGACTATATATCTCAACACGCACCCTCACACGAGAGCCCATTGGGCTTGAAGAGTGGATGATGCAACAGGCCCAGCCTACCTGTGCTAAGAAATTCCACAAGAGAAAGTGGGGGCTGCGAGGTTTGAATTCGGGACATGAGGCTCTGATACCATGTAAAGAACCTTGGGATACACCACCCCAAAAGCTAGCTCAAAGGATGGGAGTACCCAAGGCCTTATAAACTCCACATTATTTGCTCATACAACCACCAATGTGGGACTATATATCTCAACAATTTCCTCTGTTTACACTACATGCAAAAACTAGAAAAATTCCATCAATATGCCATGATACTTGTAACAGCCTGCGCCGACAACGAAATTTTACATTTAACGGTTTGAGCACCAAAGCATAAGACACAAAAAGTACTAAATCAAGGTGCAAACACAATGCGAAAGAAGATGTACCTTAGAGTAAGGTACAATCAAATCAAATTTCTATTTACTCTAGTATAATCCAGTAACTTAAAACTCTGATAGATTGCTACAACAAATTAATTGTTTCGTTTTCCCATCTCATTACTGTCCAAGAGTATAAAGTCACCAAAATACAAGATTTTCACATGCCTAAATCTCACACCATGATATTAGGCACAAGTTAAAGATGTATCAGCCCTTAAAAAACCAATGCTGCCCAAGCATACGACCTACATCATTCATTACAGCATTAGAGCCATACTCAATTAAATAAAGTCTAACCATATAGCCCAGTACAAGAGTCAGCACCATGGCTGTCCAAAATATGATTTAAGCAAAATATGGCAGCCCCATAATTACATTCTAACACACACAAAGTCAACACCAAAGACAAAGCACAAGTGCTCAGGGTGGAGAGAAGTTTGTCAGTATATATATAACAAAATTCATTCATATTATGGGAACTGAAAGGGTAATCGAATTATTGGATTCATGGCAGGCTGGACAAAGCTAAAACCAAACATGTTAAGCTACTTTAGGGATAGTCAATTAGAAATGCAGGACAACATAAAGGTCCCCAAAAAGCATATGGATTATAGCTAAAAGAAGACTTCAAAAACAACTTGAGTAGATAATACATACTGTATCCAGAATGAAGGCCATTAACAACAGGAATGTTTGAATGTCAAGGAATGAGGGTCATAATATTATTTAAAAAAGAAAATAGTCACTAGATGAGATCTATTGTTATGTAAAAATAGACTATCTTAAGGATACTGGAAACATAGGAGGAAAGTTAACGATTGTTGGAAAAAAAAAAAAAAAAATTGGCAGCATATAGACTTTATGCATGATGAAACATATCTTAAGCATAATCAAATTGAACCTGCAAAGCATAAAAAGTAATAGGACCAAAATTGTGATCAGGAGCAAATTGTGAATCAATAACATATAAATTCAAACTCTTCTTTTTCCTAAGTTTGTAATTAATACACACACAGACATATCCATAATGTAGGCCTTAGGGTATTGAAAAATGTCAGGCATCATTACAAGTTCAAACACGTCATATAATAAATGTGAAGCTCAATTATGGCTTTAAATGGTGGAGACAAATATATGTTATCACCATAGACATTATGCCAGAAATATTGAAGACTTAATGTTGTAACACTCAATTTCTAAACTGCCACACCACAAGTATACGCTAACCTTCATCCTCCAGACTTAATGTATTGGTGGGTACTTGGTAGTCCAAACCTTAGTTAAGAGAAATAATATAAAGAGGATATTGTCTGGTTTTAGGGAGTGGATCCTCTCATGTGCTAATTAACATGACCATGTCATGTGGAGCAATCATAACCATACAAGGGTGAATTAATGATGATAAGGGAAGAGAGAAAAAAAAATATAAGGATAAGAAGTTACACAATCATCACCGTTGATTTAATTATTAATGGTTAAGATCCTCCCACATGACATAATTATGTTAAATTACACATGAGAGGATCCTTTTCCCTGGTTTTAACATTGCTCGGGAATCTTGCTTTATAAGATATTTATGAATTCAACCTAAAACAGATCAGTTTCATTTATCAGATTGATGTCACAATTAACAAACCAAAAATGTTTTAAAGGTGAAGTCACAATTGACAAAATTAACAAAGAGGGAAAAAAATTCTACTTGAAAAGTGCAGAGAAATGAAGAAAAGTGTTAAAGGCGATGACAATGAAAAAAAAAAATTCAATGTCCAGGTCCTTCAATCCATGAACTTAGATCGAAAAGGACACTGGTAGGGAAGGAAGTCAAACTAAATAAAATGGCCACTACAAGAGAAGAGATGACAACAATATAACCTAGCAAAATCAATCAACGGTAGGGCAGGAAGTCAAAGTGTCAAACTAAATAAAATGGCCACTAAAAGAAGAATAAATCTGAAATACAAGATGGGTGTCCCATCTTGTTTTTCAGTAGAATTCCTGCTTTCTGAGATAAAATTCGAAATTATGTTTCTCAGTGGCAGTATCTTTTTTTATATATATATATATATATATATATATATATATATATATATATATTGCTGTAATCTTTTGACCTCTCTGTCAGATTCAGATATAGCAGACATAACAAACCGCTTTCCACATACAATTTCATCAGAAACTTATACAATCTGTAGTTTAATCCGCATGAAGATAGCAATGACTTGCTGCACCGAGACTCAACCATTGTAAATCATAATCTCTAGAATGATGTTTATGACATGCGAGAGAAGTGAAAAAATTCATACACAAGTATACTATTTGTTCGTGACTGACTGTTTCGATATATGAAAACATAATGTTGTCACCTAGAAGTAAAACTACACTAAGTTAAGAGTAAATATCCTCCAAGAAATGAATTATTTTACTCATTACACATTTACAATCAGAAATTGAATCTCAACCACAGCTCTGAATAATACTCCTCCCGCTTACACATAAGTGTGTCATTAATATAAGTAATACTCCTCCCATAGGTTTAGGTTCAGCCTCAATGGGAAAAAAATGGAGTATTACTGCTTACTGGTTGTGTTTGTGATAGGATTAAACTCCTCCTATCGATAAAAAGAGGAAGTAATTTGTTTATTAATTGAAAAGAGAAAAACTATTACAGGATTATCAAAAGAGCCAAAGCTCCCAGCTATGGAGATCTCCCCATTAGCCCTTCCTACCCCCGTAGAAAATGAGCGTAAACATATGAATACCTCCTAAAGGAATCTTCAGTCCAATATAAACGATGGAAATAACAAACTACCACTAACTCTCTCTCTTCACCCGCTCATGTAACCCACACGCATAACATACTCATAACCAACTATTACACATCATTCATCCCCTCCCCTTTATCTTTATTTCTCCTCTGATACACTAAGATTGGGCCACTCCACTTCTTATGCTTGGGCTGTGAATCTGCCTCTGGTCCAGTAGCCTGTGAATCTGCCTTGGATCCAGTAGCCTGTGAATCTGCCTCTGGTCCATGAGTTGTTGTTGTTGTGATCCTATCAATACCTGCCTTTATAGATTCTGCCTTGTCCTCAAGGCAAAAATTTGGAAATTGCCCCTGGATATCGCTCGCTTTCTCCCACGTGGCCTCTTCAACTGGTTTGGATTTCCAAAGTACCAGCCATTCCTCATGCAATCTACCCTGGTCCTTAAGATGGCGCACTGCCAACACAGATTCTGGTTCGTGAGTATGGGTGCTATCCACAGCCAATCCTTCTGGTAGACTACCCTCTGCTATAACCGTGCCCGTGGCTTTTCTTAGTTAAGACACATGGAACACCGGATGTATGCGTGACCCCTCAGGGAGGAGCAACTTATAAGCAACAGCCCCAATCTTTTCTGCCACCTGAAAAGGACTATAAAAACAAGCAGCTAGCTTTGGGTTTATACGTCTTGAAACAGAAACTTGTCTATGGGGTCTCAACTTCACATAGACCCAATCTCCTACATCAAATGTCACATCTCGACGATGAGAATTTGCTTGCTTTTTCATGGAATTTTGAGCACGAATCAAATGATATTTTAGTTGACGCAGGGCCTCATCACGATCGAACAACACTCTGGCAACAGCATCAACTTGAGTTTCAGCCATCAAATAATGAGTAATCTTGGGAGGAGGTCTACCATAAACAGCCGAGAAAGGAGTGGTACGAATGGAGCTATGGTAAGAAGTATTGTAAGAGAATTCAGCCCACGAAATCCAATAAGACCATAGCTGAGGCTGCTCGGATGCAAAACAGCGAAGATAAGTTTTGAGGCATCGATTAACAACTTCCGATTGTCCGTCTGTTTGAGGATGGTAAGAAGTACTCATCTTCAAGACGGTTCCTTGTAAACGGAATAGCTCCTTCCAGAAATTACTAAGGAACAAAGGATCACGATCACTAACAATAGAACGGGGTAACCCATGGAGACGTATCACCTTTTTGACAAATAATTCTGCAACACTCTTAGCAGTAAAAGGGTGCTTAACAAGGATAAAATGGGCATACTTTGTCAAGCGATCCACAACAACGAGGATAACTTCAAATCCTTGAGACTTTGGTAATCCCGTGATAAAGTCCATCGAAAAATCCTCCCAAACAAGCTGTGGAACTGGCAGTGGCTGCAACAAGCCAGCAGGGGATAAGGTTTGATATTTGTTCCTTTGGCAGATATCACATGACCTCACAAACATCATAATTCGCTTCTGCATTCCTTTCCAGAAAACTCCACCAGCCAACCGCTTGTAGGTCCTGGTAAATCCTGAGTGTCCTCCTGTAGGAGAGGAGTAGAACTCATGCAGCAAGCTAGGAATAAGAGAAGATGTAGAAGATAATACCATACGCCCTTTGTAAAACAAGAGTTCCCCATGTAAGGAGTAACCAGAGGGGGCATTCTGGTCAGATTGCAACGCCGTAAAAATATTTTGCAACTCTGGATCAGCTTTGTACTCATTCTTCACCACACTTAGATCTAGCCAATAAGGACTAGATACAATTTGGGACAGCTCCAGTCCAGCAGGCTCCATCATTCTGGACAGCTCCAATTCCCCAAGCTCCATCATTCGGGACAAGGCATCCGCCGCTTTATTCTCTGGTCCAGGCTTGTACACGACTTCAAATTGGTATCCATCAACTTAGACAACCAGCAATGTTGGTCAGAAGTGGTTATTCGCTTGAGTTCAACTCTCAACGAAAGCACCAATTGATAGGATTGAACTCCTCCTATCGATAAAAGAGGAAGTAATTTGTATATTAATTGAAAAGAGACAAACTATTACAGAATTATCAAAAGAGCCAAAGCTCCCAGCTATGGAGATCTCCCCATTAGCCCTTCCTACCCCTGTAGAAAATGAGCGTAAACATATGAATACCTCCTAAAGGAATCTTCAGTCCAATATAAACGATGGAAATAACAAACAACCACTAACTCTCTCTCTTCACCCGCTCATGTAACCCACACGCGTAACATACTCATAACCAACTATTACACGTCATTCATCCCCTCCCCTTTATCTTTATTTCTCCTCTGATACACTAAGATTGGGCCACTCCACTTCTTATGCTTGGGCTGTGAATCTGCCTCTGGTCCAGTAGCCTGTGAATCTGCCTCTGGTCCATGAGTTGTTGTTGTTGTGATCCTATCAATTTGCCTCTCATAATAACAAAGATGAGGTCTAGCTGACTCAACCAAGCATGCAATCAAGCTCAGGATGAAACATTTTGTATGTGAGATATACAAAGGCAATACTTTACAAAAGAGGTTGAAATATCTAATTTTTCATTTCCTCTATATAGACCACAAGTAAAAACTAGAAAAATTCCATCAACATGCCATGATAATACCTGAATAATTCGAATAGTAGACGCTTTGGGTTGGCAATCAACTCCTTGCTTCTCAAGTTTTTCCAAGGTAGCAACATCAACATGTTCGATTTCAACAGTTAATACTCCACATCTGAACACCGTATCAAAATAGCATATACACATTATTCCCAATAAGTGATATAGGAAATCACAAATCCAAAATAACATCTATTGCATAAAAACTTGAACCTCTTGGCAAATTCTTCAACCGTAGTGCTGTCATCAAAGCTTCCAACCATATGATGATAAGACAGGGAACTTGCGGGGCAATTCTCCTGTGGATCCAAAACCATGACTTTAATTGCCATCACAGAAGCAGCTTGACATAGCATGCGACCCAGTTGACCTCCCCCTAGAACCCCAACAATCATATCAGATGGTCTATGGACAGGTAATTCATCATTCCTACACACAACATCATGGTAAAAATTTGTGGGCTTTTTATGAAATTCTCAGTTTCAGAAACTTTAACACTAGAAATTTTATATTTATATCCCTTAAGTCAGAGAAAGCTGAAAAAGGGTGTTTTTAAAAGAAGTTTAAAGCAAACCCCATTAATAAAAATGCAAAATTTAACTTATGAAAAACTAGATACGTACGCCAAACTTGGAGAAACTGCATCCTTTGATGCTTGACAAGCGAGTTGGGTTTGGTGACACTGCTTTAGCTTTAAAGAAGATAAAGGAGAAGGTTGTTCCATGTGGAAGCCGAGTGAAGATGTTGTGTTGGTGGAGGAATGACAATGTCTGAAGGCAAAACCTGAAACGCTGTTGTGCCCTGATAACACAATTCTCGCACAGTGAAGCATAGTTCAAACCTTAGTTTTCGCAGCAAACACCTTCTGAGTCAATGAGAGTGTCATAAGTCTTTTCTATGTATGCAAAGAACACAAACCAAAAGCCCATTTGGCTTAGAAGTAAAGCTGAAAAGGGTTTCCTTCCAAATAAAAAATAATAAAAGAAATTCTTGTTGTTTGTCACAAATATTTCCCGTCAAATGCGATTGGGATGAGATATGATGGTTATTTTTTTTGTTTATTTTATCTACTTATTTTTTTACATTGTTAGATTTCAATTTTTGAATAGTACAAATTTTTATGATTAAACAATTTTTTTTTCCTCTTTCTCTTTCTTATCACTTTCCCTGTTGAATAAGATCTTGTTGAAAATTATAATCTAATAGTGTAAAATAAATAAATAAAATGAGCATAATAGAAAGGGAGAGGATCTTCTTATATCAATATAGAAATAATAAATCTTATATTTAATTTTAACAGTTGATTTTTATATATCTAATGATTATAATTTATTAAAAATTAATAATTTAATCATGTTGCTAATAAAAATAACCATATTATTATATCCCAATCAAATATACATACTTTACTTTTAGAATGCCAATAATGTACGTGGCTGAGCTTGAGAAAATGAATGCTGTCAAGGATTTTGCACTGACCAGCACCAATTTTGTTTTGCAGCCTTGGGATAGTTCTTAATTGAACTCACTTCTTTTCAACTTCTTTCTTCTTCGTATAACCATACTTTTTATAATTAAATTTTTGAATAAATTTGTTTTGTTTGAAAAATTAAGATAACCGATATCAGAATAGCCATGAACATATCTCTTATTTTGAAATTTTATAAATAACTAACTCCTATGAATCCCAATAACAACTATATATAAATTATACTATTTTTCTTATCTAAAATCTTGTTTGAAAAAATAATGGGACAATTTTAAAAAGGTTAGATAATAAAAGATAAATTAGATATGACTTAGATTTTTCCAAAGATTCGTATTTTTAAAATATAAATTCCCTGTATTGTTTCATGACCATAGAAAATAATAACATATTATATATATATATATATATATATATATATATGTACGGAATGATCCGTTTACAAATTTTTTTTAATTTTTTTTACACTATATTCTCCCGAGAGAACATAGTGTAACAAGTGTTCTCCCGGGAGAATATAGTGTAGTTTGTAAGAGTTTGTAAATAAAAAAGTTTGTAAATATAACATACCCCTATATATATATAGATATATGAAGTTTACATTTCTGCGGTTGTTGTACGTGCAGCAATCAAATACTTGCCATATATATACGTAAAAGTATTAAATGCGGTGAATCATAACCATACAAAAGATGAAAGCATTAAATGTGGGGAATCATAACCATACACCTGTCGTTGCTGTACGTAAAGCGACTGTAGAAATGATTTTACCTATATATATATATATATATATATGCATGCTATTGACAATTCAATTATGTAATTTCATCCCCTAAATTTTTAAACAGAAATGCTTAAATTTACTATTGGTATTAGGGGACGGTTATACTTACCACCAGGTAAGTTTACCACCCTTACAATCAATCTTCCCACCGTCGAATCAGAATTAAATCCAACGGTTCATAATTATCCCTTATAATCCTAATTTTTACTCTCCCATCCCTGATATACTGCATAATTGAATACATCCCTAATATAAGCTAAACATTTAAATCAAAGCATGAAATTTGGAGCTTTTCAACTTACAAGTTTTAAAATAACTACTACTAATTCTTTATTTTGATGATAATCAAATTAGAGGTAGCAATATGGGTTTAACCCGATGGGTCAACTCGCCAAAATGGGACGGATTGGGTTATACCTTTCAACCCACCAACCCATCTCAATCCGTTCTGTTTAGTTGTGGGTCAAAATGGGTTGTGACGGGTCGGGGCAGGTTGGCCTGCGGGTCAGCTTTTTTTTTTTTTACTATTAGGTAGTATTTTATTTGTCACTAAGCTTTTGTGATATACATTTTTTTATTTTAGTACTCCCTTAGAAAAATAAAAAATAAAAATTTTATTTATAACAAAGGTATCCATATATAAAGGAAAAAAAAATTCTAAAAAATATCTGACTGAATATTAGCTTATATTTAGGTTGAGATTGAAAAAATATTAAGGGGAGTGTGAAATAAAAATAAGTAATATTATAAAATTAATAAGACATATTTATTATTTTTTGTTTTTTAGGCAGGTTGACCCGCCAATCCACCTCAAAATGGGTTGATATTTCCAACCCACCATCAAACAGGGAGTCAACCCACCTCGCCCCACTTTTGACGGGTTGAAGATGGGTCGAAGCGGGTTGGCCCGTTTTGCCATCTCTAAATCAAATAAATGTACTTTGGTATGGTTTGATAGATTCCAAATAGAAATATTCACTAAAATTGTACCATAAGTTTAATTCTTCGTAACATAATGGTGATATTATTTTATTTTATGTTTATAGTCAATTATTTATAAACTATTAAAAGAAGCCAATGTAAATATTTAATTGTGGAGAAACCAAACATCCACGTCCCAGTTGCATCTCGAAAAGCTTAATGTCCACCCATCTTACAAGAACCAATCATTGTCAACAACCAAAGAAACACCAGAGGAGCATGGTGTAATTTCTTTTGCTCCCACTATACGTAGTTCTTTATTTAAAGTAGAAAAAAAGTGGGATCCATATCACATTAATTACCATTCATGGGGGTGGTACAATTAATTTCACTTTCATTCTAAACAGTGTAGATAACTTTTCATTATCTGTTATGTTCCAATCTGTTGCATCCTCTGGGCAATGTTTGGTTAAGGAGTTCTTAACATTTTCTCATCTAAGTGTATTAGGCAATCTCTTTTCTCCTTGTTTGGTTGAAGATTTCATGACATTTATCCATCTAACACACTTGTCCATGTAAGTACAAATGCGTGTAAAAAATGTGCAAATACACTATTGAAGAATGCTGTTTGTAACATGATATTTTTTGGAAAACTGGAGAAATTAAAAAAGTGGATGAAGATAAAGACTAGAATATCCCTCTTCTTAACCACATGTAACATTCAAAATTTTATAAAAAGGTTACTTTCGTAATTTCAATCCATTTTTCTATCAAATTTTTATTTTCAACCAAACATACACTCAGCATATTTAACCCAATTTTCCTAGTAATATTTTGTGGTACCAAATAACTTTTTTTAAACTTTCCTACCAAACTTACTTTCCTATGTTTTTTCTTGTAATTATTATATTTTCCTAGTAAAAAAAAATTTCTCCTGAACCAAATATCCCCTAAAGATAATAGACTCAAAAGTTTAAAGCGTAGCCCCCAGTATTTTAAGGACTATCAGGCCTAGCTTTTTGGTTATGACTTTTTAATTTCAATTTGGTTGTATTTCGCTGAATAGACATGTGAGGAGTATGTGTGGTTGAGTAACAAAAAGTAATTGTTGGAATGAAGGAAAATGAATACTAATAGAGGGAAAGGGCTATCTAGAGGCTACATTAAGAAGTCTTGGGGCACTGAATACTGGTAGGTGGGTGAAGTAGCTCCAAAGAGGAAAAAAGCTATTGTCGGATCAGTGTTGATAGAGTGAAAGTTGTAAGAACCCGCACCGTTAATTAAGGAAGTTAATTAAATAATTATGAGAAATTAAGAAATAATTGCATAATGGATCCTAATAATTATTATGAGGCTTAAATAATTATAGTAAGTGATTAATAATGCAAAAATTACTTTTCTGACGAAAAGTGCAGATACCGGTTCTGCTACTCGGTATAAATGTGTACCGATGAAGTATCCCGGAAAATTAAAATAAGTGCACGAATATTCCTAGAATAAAATGTAGGATTGTGATTTCAAGTTTCAAGTTAAAATAATAAGAACTGGTGCCAGAACTGATACTGGCTATTGTAACACCCCGTATATATCCGGTAGAGTTATCATTACATCGTATTAAGCGGTGCTTAATTAAAAATGCGAAATATTCTTTTTCTTTTCAATTATGACGTCATTATCGATTACCAACTTGATTACTTAATCAATTTCATAAAATAATGCCTGTATGTAAATTGCAATAAGACATCTACTGAAATACCTCAATATATATATAAAGTGTGTATCTAAATCACGACATTACATCAAGTAATCCGGACAATATCCTGATACATTATTACAACTTCAAAATACTCAAGACATAATCAAGACATAACAATACTATGTGTCATGGACAATCCCCATGCTCACCAAATAAACATAGTAAACAACAAGTCTCAACGTAAAACTCCATAAACATAACTGAAGCTATAAGCATAAACAGTATGCAAATCCAGAATCCAATCATGGCAGCATAATATAACAGCAATCTAACTCAGCTCCTGCCGCCTGAGGTCTCAACATTACCTGACCCTGAAATAAGCATTCTCCAAACGTGGGGTGAGATCTCTAAACTAGAAATCTCAGTAAGACAAGGGGTCCTCAAGGATCTTCCACCCCAAGCTCACTTACATGTGCAATATAAGTTCTAAAAGCATTTATATCATTATCAGTTCCAAAACTATGTAGTGCAACAGATATCTATGGCATGTGTGTTTATCACTATCTACTGGCCAGAGAAATGTAGGAATACGTCTATTCCCTACATGTAGTACAAGGAACACCGCTTGCACCTCACCCACAGCCTCACCCTCTTGTATGTTCTACATACTCAGGCTTACCGTATAGGTGGAACACCTCCATGCATATCAACAAGGCACTAAGATACAATAGCTCAACAGCATTTCCAAAACATCAAAAGCATGTAACACAGCATGCATATACCATATCCCCATGGGACATGGTGGAACTACAACATGGCTAAACCGAGGACACGAAAGCTTACCTCTAAGCTAGCTATCCAATGCCACAAGCTCAAAGTCCAATCACAGCAGATCACAATCTGATATGGACCAAATATAAATCAATAAACATGTACCACATGCATACAAATTAAAGACAACGCCTTTTCATTACGTTTTCAAGTCTTAAAGCTTCTAAC